CACACACACACACACACACACACACACACACACACACACACACACACACGGATGTTTTACCAATGGCAGGGTGGAGGAGGTGAAGTTGTCCACACCTGTTAAACACACACATGCTGTTCTGCTTGTTTTCTAAGGAAAGAAAACCTCAGTAGCACATTAACCAAGCTCCACTTTATCTGTGCTTCACTTCCTCTTTTTTCACACAGTGGAAATGTGTTTGCATGGAGAAGGAGGGCGAGTGAAAAAGAAGCTTGTGTTCCGTCCCGTCCTTTGTCAACAAACTTGGACGACAGCCACCGTCTGCTCAGTTGGGAAAAAACCTTTTTGTGTGGGTTTATTCAAGCCTTTAAGTCCTGGCAAAGCATCCGTACTGATCCCCAGCCCCCYCCACCAGCAGCACCCATCAGTGGGCTGCCTGTGCTGCACACTGCTCAGGTGAGTGAAGGATTCTTATCAGGAGATTCTGTCAGACTGCAGCTCCCTCCCACAACTGCCAGGAGCAAACACAAACACATCCCTGCTGCTAACGATGAGGCGAACTGTCTCACGACACGCAGCAAGAGCTCTTCACACAGAGTTTATTCAAGCAATCCTAAGAGTCCAAAAATAAATCATTAACACAGACAGAATTAACATAAATACACAGAAATGTTCATTTTCATATAACCTAAAAGCCAATAATTAAAACTGAATATATGACATTAAAAAGTACAAACAAAACCTTTTAATTCTGCATAAATTTGATTCAAACCAACTCAAATCAATTACACAAATATGTCACATGTCACACTTATTGTTAATAAAAACCAAAAGACGGAACTTTTTAAAAAGTGGAAACGACATTAAAACAAATAAAACATTCAATTTGTTTTTTGCCGACCAGAATGTTGTCAGATAAAATGTTTTGCCAGCAAACAGAACTAAAATCTGAGTTTTCTTCCTCGTAGAACAAAGAGTTTTGATTAAAGACGAGAACTGGAGCATCAAAAATGTATTTTTTAATCTCTAAAACACGGTGGTGGTAGCATTATGGTTTGCGCTTGCAGCTGCGACATAAGATGCCATGTAATCTTTTTTAAAAAAAACAATAAGTCAAATTAAATATGCAAGCTGAATTGTAGCTCCCCATTACATAAAACACATGCAGTTTTACTTCCTGTTGTCAGCAGGAAGTGGATATACGAGGTGTTTCCAGTAATATTTTCAAATAAACAAACATGCACTGCGTTCACAAACTGTACGGCATGCAAATATTAGATTATTATGCAGCTCTGAAATATTACAGCACACAAACCGATGAGGATGTCAGCTTAATGCATGAAGGTGGAAMTGAAAACATTAATGTAAACACATGCATTTTTTATATTTATTKTTAAGTTTTGGATAAATGCTCCCTTAGGAGCTCAGGGGTTTCAAACCAAAAAGGACAAGGGCTTTAAAAAAAAAAAAGTCTTCTTGTCGTCATTACTGGGTTAGTCACGATTCTGCTCACTGCTGTCTTCCCTCCGGTCTGTTCATCCTTCAACGTCTCGTCCTCACTGAGGCTGCTCTCTGTGCCGGGACAGAACAAATCGTATATCGACTGATTCGTCATCAGGGCTCAGTCTGAGCAGGAAGTGCTGAAGGTGARTGTAGTTTACACTGAAAGCTGTGAATCATTTCTGCCACCAGAGGCTGCTGCATCCAGTGACACAGACAGGAGAAATACACTGCTCTAACACATGTCCCTCAAAAACAAACAACAAAGAAGGAAAAAAAAACAACTCACATGGGGTCATAGCTGCTTTGCTCTTTGGATTTGAGGAARCGCATGGCGAAGAAGCCGCCTGCCTGCAGAAACAGCACCAGGATGATGCCTCCTATGAAGCTGGACATGTCAAACTTAGCCTGAGAGAACTCGGAGGACTTGTCACCACCTTGAAAAAAAAATAAAGCCTTGTGATAAAAATTTACTGTTATTTGGATTTAAAGAAACARCCTCAAAACGAGTTGATCTGCAACACAGATCAGAAAAGGGGGTGAAAGAGGGGCTTGTGGAGTTACAATAAAGAGGAATTCAGACCAAAGCGTTGCAGCTCTGGTTGATTTAAATGTGAAACAGAAGGATGTGAAAGCAGAAGATGTCTCGTTCAAAGGTATGGCTGATTGGAGAGCACGTTGCTTCAAATGGGATTAGCAGTCAGGTTTTTGACGTAAAAACAGGAAGCAGGAGGTAGATGCTCGAGGCATGGCTGATCCAATTTACCTGAGTCACCTTCAGTTCCGTCAACAGCTACAGACTCTACAACTGAGAGTGGGGGGGAAATTATGACAGTTAGTGTCGACTCCGAGACACTCAGAGGTCCGTTTTCCTGCGTCGTGTCATACCTGTGCACAGTTCTGACACTCTGGTCCAGCTGCAGTTCATGCTGTTGTCTGCTGAATCGCCCTCATCGGTCACACACGCCCCGGTACCATTATCTGTGACAGAGGAAAGGCATTCAATGTGTGTGTGTGTGTGTGTGTGTGTGTGTGTGTGTGTGTGTGTGTGTGTGTGTGTGTGTGTGTGTGTGT